AATATATTCCAGCAGCCCAATTGTGGTCCAATTAGAATTTCAATCCTTGAGTCCACTTAATTGTGAAATCAATGCCAATTTAGTCCCCATAATTTGGAGTTGATCCACTTTAGCCATTTTTTCGCTATTTTGCACTATTTTCTTCAATTCTCGTCAAACATTGAGATTTACCTACAAGATACAATATAACACAATTTAGGTCGTATTTTGCTAAAAGAACAATAAAATTCTATAATTTCAAGCCTCGAATAAGTGTAGAAAATTCACTTATCAGTGACCATCTAGAAAAAGAACAAATTAATATCATAAAATAACGAAATGGTCCACATGGTGGGTGTATTGGCTCACATATATATTCCAAGAAAGTTGGAGATTCAATATTGACCTTTGTAGCTAAAAGTCTAATGACTAACTTGCCTTACAAAAGCACTACACATGGATAATCATTAGATAAAAGAATCTCCTTATTCTTTAAGGGATGTCTGTGTGAGTTGTGTATTATTTGACGTATCATTATAACTCCAGATGTCCAAGTCGATCTTGTCAAAATATAAATATTTTTTTTAGAATAACGAACATCTGGTTCGTAATAATATTTTGATTCGACTATTTTTATAAATATATAATACATGTCAATGGGAGTACATGAAGTTTTTTTTATTTGCTTCTGGTCAAATACAAAATAAGTTATGCAAAAATATTCAACATTATTTTTCTTGCATTGTCTTAATGTGATATCCATTATAACGAATATTTTTAAAATTAAGCAAATTTCTTCTGAATTTGCTAGAATAAAGTGTATCTTCAATATATAATTTTGTATTATTTGGTAAAATAATACAAGATCTTCCAGAGCCTTCAACAATATTTGATGCACAATAATTAAGTTCGGAAATGACTTTTTGTCTTGAAGAATAATGTACATATTTGTACTATCAACTAAACAGATATCTCGACAATTCATCTCAAATTTTGTGTTGTTTACTATTTAAATAATTTCACCATAAAATAAAATACAATTAATCTCGGAAAATATGATTAAATATCACACAATAATTAATCAAGTAGTTAATATCAACATGACAAAAGTTACGTGTCATCTTTCAGAGATAAATACTAACTTAAAATAATATGTTTTTCAAAATATGTGCTACTTCAGGAACACGTTGTATTTTATTATTACTTTTTCAATAGTAATATATCAATATTCGTCTAAACTATTGAAAATTATAGTTCATACTCTTTAGGAGCAAGTAATATTTTTTATGAATATTAACTATAATATTGTACTATTTTAGGAGCATCAACGAATTATTTATAATAGACAGATCTACGATTAATATTCTTTTGGAATATTAATTATAAAATTGTACCACTTCAAGAGCAACAATATGATAAATTATTAATTTAAAATTTATATAAGAACATCTAAAAATATTTAAAAAGATTAAAAATATTGATTACTATATAAACATGATATAAATTTATACATAGAAATTAATTACCAAACATAATGACTGCAGCACAAATTTATACAAATTTCGGCACAAAGTACGGAATGAAGAATTATGGAATTGTATGTAAAGAAAAAAAAAAAGATAACCCACATGCATTACAAAAATGGTAATTATTATCTAGCATATTCATTCTAACTTTGACTATAAACCATGGAATTATGTGTAAATTATTACACACCATTTGTAACGCCCCAATTTTCATTAACACGAGACGCAACTTAAATCGAAATATCCTATAAATAATTTTCCTCAATAAATGTCAAAATGCATAAATATTTATTTTTTAAAAAAACTATAGCAATTTAACATTAAATGCGGAAACATCATTTGAATAATTTACTCATCCAAGAGTCAATACGAAATATAATAAGTAAAGTTCCTCAATTTGCAAAAATACTAAAATTTGAGATTTAAGACAAAATAGAAACCGGCTATTAAAATACTAGTTTCAAAAATTTATAAATTAAATTGTCTATTATTTAATCATGATTGCCCCGCTCATTGTCTTGTCTTGCCTAGCTCCTTAACCTGAAATTGTGGAAAATATTTGGGTGAGCATAACGAATTATACTCAGTGGGGAAGTAGCAATCAGTCCAAATTAAATCTAAACATGAAATCAAATTATGAATATAATATCAATACAACATAATGTAGAAATATGTACTGTGTGACATCTCCAATGACCCAATTATGATCTCGGACCTATTTACGGTCCCTGACAACATGTTATAGCACTTAACAATTTTGCACTGTGGGACACCCCCAAGAACCCACTTTCGATCCCGGACCTATTTACGGTCCCCGGCAACCTTTTCATATGTATAGCATTTTATCACAATCAAAATCACACATTAAGAATTAACGTAGACAAAATAACAACAATTGCTTAAATGTAAACCCCACCTCAAAATCTTAAAACTTTTCTTGAAATTGAATGGATGTGATTGTTAGGCAAATTGTTGTCAAACGACCTCCCTGGGCAATGATGTAAATATTGTTTAGTTCAGTCGGCATTGACCAAATGACTGAAGGTATATCGACACCACAATTTGGTAAACCAACCATATAACTTAGTTGGGCCATTGGAAGCAGCATAATCTTAATTAGTGCTGCTCATGACCCAACCCAAATTTGGAGGGCTCTTATAAGTTGATAGCCCACTTATAGCTCTTATTTGGGCCTTATCAACCCTTATTGGGCTTAACCTAAAATCATACCCATTCCTATTTATTCATATGCCCGTTACTATTGCAGAGTGTGATTATTATTGATAGCTTTTACCTTGAAAGGAAAAACGGCGGTTTAGGCTCTCTCTTTGCTCCCTGTTTTTCGTGGCTGTGTGCTACACTTTCTTCTTCCTCTCTTTTGCCTTTGTGGCTAACCTGTGGCTATAATAATCTTCATCCTAGGTTCCCTATGTGGGCAGAAACTTAGAGCAACCAGTTTGGTTCATAGGTTTTGGTTTGGGTTTTCTCATTGTGGTGTCGTTTGGAATTACTGAGCTCAGATTCAAGGTGCAAAGCATGAGGTTAAACTTCACAATGATGTTACCGTGTTTTAAGCTTTTCCCGCAACCTCGTCTAGTAAGAACAAAATTAATATAATTTAGGATACTAAGTCCTAATTAATACTTTAAAACTTTTAGGGACTTGATTGGACTTTTTTTGAAAGTGAAGAAATGAATAATTTTATAATTCTTTAAATCTTTAGGATCTAATTACCAAAATTAGAACATTTAGGGCCAATATGATAATTAGGAAGTAAAGTATAACTAATTTGAATAACAATCAAACTTTAGGGGTTGTGAAAGAGTTAAAAATAAATAGGGGACTAACTTAAACTATTGACCAAACTCTAGGATTTAAAGAATGAATTTTCAATATTTAAAACAATCCCCCACTCCCAATTAGTTTCACGTCACTGAAGGCTTCCAGTTTCATAATCCAAGCTAATTCCAAATTGGGATTTTACATATTAATGGTTTTCAATTAAAATTGAGGTCGGAGGAATGAAGGCTAATGTCAATGGGGATTCGTGCAACGTTGTTCCAGGCGAGAGAGGGAAATAGAGGTTGAGTTGTGACCCGTTTGGAAATAAAAATTGCAGGTAACTTTCGGGTTTTCGAGTGTTATTCTCAGCCCATAAATCTCAGTCACAAGAAGTGAAATATGGAGAGCAAGGATCGGAATATGTCATTAAACATAGAGATTTCATTTTTTTTTCTTCCTGTCATTCCTTTTTTTTTTCTTTTTCTGTTAATATGTTGAGAAGAAACAGAGATTAGAATCTCAACGAAAATAAAAATAATTTTTGAAATAGTTACCTATACAGATTTTTGCCGAGAATAAATTTCAGGTTTGAGATTTGCAGCTTGAATTTTGAAGAACTAATGCAATGTGAATGTGAATTAGAAGATGATGATGATGATGAAATTAAAGGAAAATAATTGTTCCAATTGAGAGATTTACCACTTGAATGCCCAGATTTCTTGTAAGATTTTTACAGCCGTGAGAGTGAATATTTTTTTGGAGATAAAATTGATTGGATTTTAGGTTTTGATACTATTGAGCCCATACAAACTGATGCTCCAGAATTTGGGCTGGTGGTAATGGACTCGAACTTAGGTCAAAGAATAATATTGGACCAAGAGAAATTTAAAATAGAAGTTGGGTGACCCAAAAGGAAATATTGAATTTTTAAGATTAAAAATCGTTTTTGAATTCTTATATTAAATGTTTTGCTAGACGACTCGACGGACGTAAAATAATTTCTAAAATTTGACGGAAACGTCGTAGCGACACAATTTAAGTTATAAAATTTTGCATTTTAAAATTCGGGTCGCTACACCATTACAATTAATCGGGCAATTGGGTAGAATGATAAGCACAATTGATTTCGGCAAATTGAATATGATTGCATTACAAAGACAATTTGAATATAAATTGGCCGAAATTTCATAAAGTAATTTTTAACATCATAGATTAAATGTGAATTTCGACAAATTACGGCAAAAAATTCAGACACACAAATTAACGTGTCATATGCATGTGTATAAAAGAAATTCACTTGTCATCAAATTGATTTTGGTACCGTAATAGATGATTAAAAAAAAAACTACTACATTTATTAAACTTTAAAAGAATTAAGCTTTTTTGAGTGGGGAAAAAGGAGAATAAAAGTCCATAAATTTGTGTTAATTATAAAAAGAACCAAATGCCCATATTTATAAAGAATGATTAAGGATACGATGGTAATAATTTTTAGGGTTGTAGGGGGTACAATTGTTATTCACTAATAAACTTATCATTTACAACAATAAATGGTTTATAATAATAAATTTATAAAATATATAAATAATAATAATAATTATTATTATTATGAATGATCGACAAGTAGCATATGGTCGAAATGCGTCTTCCTATCTCACTAGTAACGATTTAAGATTCTTTTCCAGTCCCAAAACTGTGTACCGCACTCAATAGATGTCCACCATCATTCCACACTACTCCAGATTTCTACGCATTTTCTCTGCTCGGAATTCCCCCAACAGTCTCCTTAATTTACGCACCCAATTTCGTTGTACCAGCAACTGCTATCGCACTGCCACCGTTCGAGCGCTACTGAGGCCATTTTTCTTCACGGGGCAGTGCTTAGCTAACGGCAGAGGGAGATTTTCTGCTAGGTTTTCAGGCATGTCGAACGCCGGTGGTGATGGCCGTCAACTACTCCAGTTCCAGCTGTCTCCGTCGAACCTGCTCAAGATTCAGAAAGGCGACATCACTCTGTGGTCTGTCGACGGTTCCTCCGATGCCATAGTAAGAATCTGGGTCTGTGTATGTGTGTAGGGGTGTTGATTTATTGAAGTATTAGCTCAGCAAACTGTTTTCTCTGCTTCGCCCTAATTTATGTGCATGTGTTTGTTTGTGTTCTGAAGTTTGAAATTAGGAAAAAGCAATATAGAAGACTGGAGTTCAATTTTTTGGAGTAACGAAGTTCATTTTTACTGGATTTCCGCTCTGCCGTGAAGATTATTTGGAAATGAAAAACAAAGAGAGGAAAAATCGTTTATAAATGAATGAGAACGAGGTTATTTTGGATGGAAAAGTGAACTTAACGTTTTAGTTTTGATATTAAATGAAGTGTTGATGCACGCTCATGTTAATGGAGAAGTATTTGGTGCTTTATGCTCCCTGTTGCACTGTATTGATGTTGAAATCTGGTAATCCAACTATGCTCAACAGGGATGATATGAATTCCATGGGAATATGCAAAACAACTAGTGTGTGAACTTGGTCACTCGAAGTAGAAAGTGGTGGCTAGTTTTCAAAATGATGCTGAAGTGTACAAATTTTCTGCCGTGGGTTACCAGTAATCAAAGTGAATTACAATTATATTCTTTAGATGCCACTACTTGTAATTATAGATGAAAAGTTGAAGCCCTTTTTAGGTTTCGATTCTTAGGATTTGTGGGCAGTCCTTTTCCAGGATATTTGGGTAAACCTCAGTGTAGTTGTGCTTAGGATGACCTTTGTATCATGTGGCTCTTGACATGCTAGGTTGTTGAGCTTAGCACTCGTGTTGAGATAGGGTTATAAAGTTGGTAGAAACTCAGGTCCAACATCATTTTTATGTTGCGAGTATGAGCTCTAGCCTCGTAGGTGACACGTCATTGTGCAACTTCAATATACACTTCCTTGTCATACCATTGAGTGTAAAATAGTGTAAGAATGTAAATGAAGGAAACAAAATAGAGTTTTTATGTTCTAAAATTGAAAATGATTTTGTGATACTTGGAGGAGAAAGGTATTTCTATTCATTTTGTCTTTGGTAGGCGATAATTGCAATTATTTGGAATATTCACATTGGCCCAACATTCCACTCATATTTGTCACCACCATGCACAATTCACATAATAACTCTTATATTTCCATCCAGCCTCTAGGTCAGTACCATCATCAAGCAAATTATTATCATTCTAGGGGCAATATTGGAAACACCAATTATATTACTAGGCAAGTCAAATTAAAATCGTGGGACTTTGATGATTGTTCTGATCTCGAGACATTTCTTGATTAGCTCGATCATCTTGAAAAAAAAAAATCACTTGCACAACATGAGTGACTATCGTTGTATTTGTCGTACTAGTGTGCCACTTGTAGGTTCTACTAGACATTATTGGTGGCAGTGGCGGATCCAGGATACGAAGTTAGCTAGGGCGGTCCTTGATGGTCGCAAATAAGATTGTTCGCAAATAAGATTGTTTATTAATATTTAATTAAATAATGGTAAAAAAATTCAATCAATATATAAATGCACTGAAACGTAAAAAAATCATATACATTTGAAAATATAATCCAATACAATATAAAATAATAAGGAAAAAAACATTTTTCAATCATATGTGTACGATCAAGTTTTAAATTTTTTACGAATTCAAACGAAACAATTTATACGTAGACATGATTAAATAGTAAAGACAAGATATCGAGTTTAGGCGGAGGTTATGCAAAATTTTGAAAATAATGATTTTTAAAACTAAAACTATTTTTGACCACAAAAGTAAAAATATTTTTCGAACTTTTAAAAGAATAACAAATAACACTAAAATTGTCCAAATTTGAATTTTATAAAATAAATTAATAAAACCTAATAATAAAAGTATATATATCATAGAATAATAATTTGAGTCGATAAATTTTTTAAACAAATTATTTCGAAAACGAAAACTAATAATATGTAATTGTTTAGTTATTATTTATTATATTGAAAAATTAAATAAAAAAGTAGAATAGTAAAGAATTGAAATCCATACCTTTAGTACACAATATGGCCCCCTCTACCATATGAACCATCCTTCTTTTGTTGAGCAATGGCACAATTAATTAATATTTAGTTATTATTTACCGTGTTTAAAAATTGAAAGAGAAAATAATGTTGAAAGGATTCGAACCTAGGCATTTCGTGTGGAAAGGCGCCTTCACTCCCAAACAATCTACACAGCGTTTCAGTAACAATCATACAATAATATATATAAATCTTATTTAAATTTTTTTTTCCCGGCGGATCCAACACGGGCGACCTCCCCAGCTCGCCGGGTGCTGGATCAGCCCCTGATTGGTGGTGGAGTCATATTTGCGTGAAATGAATCCTAAAGGTGAGTGCATGTCACTTAGTGGTATGAGATGAAACGATTATTAAGAACAAATGTGCACTTTTCTATTATCAAATTTAGTTGCTAGATTAATTTTTTTTATACTGTAAGCAAGGTATGTCTACTTTTAGCGAATATATTACCCACCTCGAAGAGCTATTAAACAATTGCAATATTTATGAAGCTCCATATATCACAACTTTTAGATTTCTCAATGGTTTGAATCTTGAGATCAATTTTGACGTCATTCCCACACCCCAGTCCCTGGATGATGCTTATTACAAGGCGATCATCGTCATGGTATTCCATCTTTGCAAAGCATATCATAAACTAGCATGCAACTTCATTGCTGACATTATGTCCTAAATCCAATAGGGAGTCTGGTTGTATTACCCCTCTTCAAAAAACCAAATTGCTTCCCTACGCAGAAAATTAATCAAACCTATTTTCCCTTTTTTTATTATGGAGGAAGACATCAATACAGTCTTAGTGAGTTTTTAGACTCCACCGAGAAGGGTTGATGGGGCTAGGATGCCCCAACCTTATATAAAATCAAACTCAGGAGAACAAAAGGAAGTGGACATAAACCTAACATCCCAAAAGCGGCTATATGAAATAATGAGATAAATGAAGTCTTCCTATACAATGAAAGCAAGTGGAATGAAAACTAATGTCCTCTAATACTAGGTAGGCCATATCGATCAATTTGTGCAAGGACACGAAGTATTTGTGGTAGATCAAACGGTCTATATTCCTAATAATGATGTTGATCCAACCTTCGGATGCCAATGAATCAGCTACCTGATATCCCTTAGGGTATGGGAAATACTATCATGATCAAATGAGAGCTGTCTGATCTGTCTAAATGTGATCTGAATCGACCATAGTCCTCTACCCTTAGTGATACAGTGAGTGGCCACGAATGAGTCAGTTTCCACCCATATATATCAGATAATTGAAGTTGTTTTTCCCCCTACCAGCATAAAAAAAAATGAATATTGTTTATACTCGTATAGCATACAACTGATTTATTGGGAAGGCCATCCTTCCTTAAGAAACGGGGAAAGGATCAAAGAGAAGAATTGGAGTGGTGAGCAAGGCGAAAGGTTAGGAAGCGAACCTCCATTTTGACCTATGCTTTCCTGACTTCTGCTTTGTTTCGTTTTCGTGTTTATGGAGTGGATCGTTTTTGTCAACAAAATGAAGGCGAAGCATGTTTCAAGGTAGATTACTAAGTTGAAAGTCCTCGATCTTGCCACTCATCTGAAACTTTGAGTCCAAGTCACTTCTTTTTTGTCCAAGTTGCTTTTTGTCTCTTGGCTGAAGGCTGTTAAAGTTCCATGCCATCAGAATAACCAGACCAATTAAGATCAATAGTGATCTCGACGAGCCTGACTGTTCGCCTGTAACTTATTTGCCTACTATTAAGCTTGATCTGTTCAGGGTTGTGTTCCTTTTGTGCCCAAAACTTATCTAATGAACCATAGGCACTTAATTTGAGAGTGTAGAATGTAGATCAACATTAACCTCCATAGAGGATTATGAGAAATAACCACTATTCCACTACATATATAATATATTTGAAGGATAATGATACTTGTACATAACATATCACCTATCAGGAAAAAAAAGGAAGAGTTCACAATTTATAAATGCGTACAACCTGCTCGCGTGTCCAACTCATTACTTTAGGTGTTTCGTGCCCCAGTATAGACATGTTTGTCTCTCGCAATCTTTTTCTTCGACATTGTTAAGTCCATTGCAAGTCTATTTGAAGTGAAACATTAGTGTGGGACTAGTAGTGAGTTTGGGTAAAAAATTGTGAAGTGAGTGCAATTTCCAGATAGGAGTATTTATTTACTTCTCTCAGATGGGATGGCCAGGATGCTATCTTGTCGGTGGTCACATGTAGACAAATACTTGCCCATTGCCACCAACTCACAATCCCCTATTTCCTTGTGGAAGATCCAGCCGTTGGTGGTGAAGCTCTTAAAGCCCTAAGATTTATGTGAATAGGAGAACATGGCACAGAGGGGAGGTTTGCCTTGCCTTGCCTTTAATCATAGCAATCACATCACACGTGCCTGACTAAATCATGTGCCCTGGTAGGATAGCACTTATGTTGCAGAAGATGAAGTTGCTTATAACAGATGCAATTTGAAAATTGTCATTATTCATGATAATGTGTAATAGCATATGAATGCTTGTCGGCATAAAAGGTGGCTAGAATTAACACACGTCATTTGGATACTATTACTAGTTTAATCGAACGAGTGAATCTGCTTTTAGGATTTAAATACTCAAATCACAAGTTGAATGATTGATAATGACCTCTTATGCCTCCAGTGAATTTCTTATGCAATCAATTTTAACAGCATCTTCCAGTTAAAACTTCTAATTTAGAAGTAAAATTTGTCAATGATACAACTTCCAGTTACATGTTATTTTGACCCAAGTTGAATGCTGTTTCCTTGTTGACTGGTTTCTTTCATAGGTCAATCCAGCCAATGAACGAATGCTTGGAGGTGGTGGTGCTGATGGAGGTAATTATGTCAGCATTACTGATAAAGGTTTTTGAGTGCACTATGAGTATCTTTACTCATTTTATTCCATCTTTCTTTAAGCCATACATCGAGCTGCTGGTCCAGAATTACGGGCAGCGTGCTATGAAGTCCCAGAAGTACGACCTGGAGTTCGCTGCCCCACAGGAGAAGCAAGGATTACCCCGTATGTGCTCCTTGCTCATTTCATTTACATATTGTTGGAAATAATATTGCCTTCTTATTTTCATCAGACAAAAAATGATATATGCTAACATTTTGAGACCTGTAGAGGCTTTCGGTTACCAGCCTCTCATGTTATTCACACAGTTGGACCCATTTACGATGAAGATGAAAACCCCAAAGCTTCTCTAACAAATGCGTATAGGTACTTCAGTGAACTTGCTGCCAGTCCCCCTGAGACAAGTTTAATTTGTCATCCCAGCTGAAATTTCCTCTCTAATGGAATTTGTTACAGGAACAGTTTAGTTGTAGCCAAAGAGAGCAACATTCAATATGTTGCATTTCCTGCCATATCATGTGGAGTCTATGGGTATGTTGTCAGAGCTCGTCCATCATCTTCTACAGTGAACAGAATTCCAAATTTTGTGTTTCTTTTTTGAATCGTGTCTATGGATACAGAAGATACCATTGATCAACTAGACCACTGTCCGCGTTGTCTTAATTCTTTATTTATTTTTAAAAATTTACTTACACTTGACAATGTAAATTATTCAGATAACATTTTCTTTTGCAAATCTACACCTATCTCTTCTGTGTTAAGAAATATTCAATCTTTTCCATGCAGTGTTCTGCTTGACAATTTTTAACATTTGAAATGTTGCACGAAGGGCTGCAAATATTGGTATTATACTGTATTCATATTGAACAATAATTAGTACTTTTGAGTTCACTAATGCAAGTATCTGGCTTACAAGATCTAGAAAAAAAAAGGTTTAGACACTGTTTACTGATTCTTTAACCGTCTGATTAGGGAACATGAACTACAGAAAGGTGTGAGCATTTTGCCTAGACTCTAATATCTTGTTCTTTCAGATATCCTTATGATGAAGCTGCCTCTGTGGCCATATCTGCGGTCAAGGAATTTGCAAACGACTTGAAGGAGGTACTGTTTGTTTGATGATTTCATTTCTTCTTCTATCTGAACTTGCCTTCTATCAAAGTGCCACTGTATATTATTGTAGGCTCTGAATATTGTTGTCTACGCTGCAAGATGAATCGTGGTTGAAAAATTATGTAGCCTTTAGAGTACTTCTACATGATCATATACATCAACCTCAAACAGCAGACTGGAACCGTCTAGGTTTTATCGAATGTTTCTTTCTGTCTTATTTTATTTGTTTTAGGTTCTATTGTCATTAGCTGACAAACTTCTAAAACCATTAGAGGATAATGGCCAACTTTCTAAAGCCCAAAACATCTAAAACCATTAAAGGAAGTCACTAGTAGCTTATGTGTCTTAAAAAAACAGAAGTTTCCATTAATACCATTAAGTGAAAACGACAATGGGAGGTGAATTGCTCGATTTCAAGTTAGTTGCATATTCCCAAGCAATAAGGAGTCATCAGGGAGTCTTAAAAGGCTTGGAGGTAAAATGCAATTCCGCAATACGACACTTATACCCCATGTCTCCTAGGAACTGCATTGTGCATTAAAGTATGCATAAATCATAGCGCAGTGTTACTGCAACATATCTGAAATCAAAATCTAGTTGTGCAATTGCCATTTTAGAACTCACAAACTTGGAACTCTTGTATCTCCTATTTCCTTGACACAAATTTATATAATACAACTAAATGTGACCCTCTACCCCCCGGCCATGCTCTGCCACTATGATAATGAATCCTTAATTTAACTTACACTGTATAAAATTATCCTTCATTCAGCTGATGTCTAGTCCTGCAATTGCCATTTTAGAACTCACAAACTTGGAACTCTTGTATCTCCTATTTCCTTGACACAAATTTATATAATACAACTAAATGTAATCCTCTACCCCCCGGCCATACTCTGCCACCATGATAATGAATCCTTATTTAACTTTCACTGTATAAAATTATCCTTCATTCAGCTGATGGTGCCTTTTCTGACTGAATCCCATAGAAATCGCTGATTTTAATCCTAGAAGGTCATGAAATCTGAGATAATGTTTCCAAGATCTCTAATGCATGATAATTACTAAATGGAGGTGAAGGATTCTAGCCTCAACTGACGATGGTATATAAACCCTGTATAGATTAAAAACCAATTGTTCACAGAGCATCCTTTTTCTCATTTTTTCTCCTAGAAGAATAACTTTATAAAAACCATCCTCTCTCTATGTAAGCAGAATTAATGATTCACATTATATACTCTTTTCAGGTGCACTTTGTTCTGTTCTCAGATGAGATTTATGATGCTTGGTCGAGGAAGGCTAACGAATTGCTCCAAAATTCATAAATCTGCCATATAATCAGACTGTGTCTAAGCTGATTGCAGTACATGAAGATATGGTGTGGTTTTCCCGAAATTATAATAAAGAAGCATCTTGCAGGTTGAAGGTTTTTTTTTTTTTTTTTGTTTTTCCGGAGTTTGGGTGGTTTGAAGCAAATAAAAAGTTTGAATGCTTTAATGTTGCATATCTAAATGTATTGAATCAGTGTTGATGCCATATAATGAAATATCTGTAATGGCTAACAAACTTTATATATCCCAACCTTGTGGATTTATAGATGCATCTTATATAAAATGTAGCAAGTTTATGCATTCGGTTGAACTTTCGACCCAGAAAAGATTACTGGGAAAATACAGCATCAGAATAAAAAACCAATGACTACCTCCCTCGTATATATTGCAAGGGACTTGGCATAATTAAATTTTAGTGATTTTATGTTCAGTGTTGTTCGTTTATGATAGCCCAAAATGCAACTACCCAATCTAGAGAAGACATGTTCAAGAGTTGTCTATAATCAGTTTAAACTACAAATAGATAAAAATGAGTGATAGATAAGTGGATATTGTTTGTAGGTCTAATGAAACGTGTGGTTAAGAGGTGAAGTTAATCACATTGAAGATGCATCCCTGATTTTGTGAAATGTGCATGACCGAATGATAAATTTTCTTTTCCTTTTGGTAGGATTTGGTCATAGTTCAAATATTAAGTTGACAATTTTCTAGTAGAGACGATACCCTCAATGTAATAAATCGAGCAATTTATAGGAGCTTCTTCAATGCATTATATGAATTGTCATCTACGTTATATATATTTGCACTTGAAAAACTTGTTATGTACATGGCATTGATATTTAATGAATGGACGGCGAGTCCAACATTGATGTCCAATGGGTTCCATCCTGAATGCAATGCTACTTCTCAAGTGTCTTAATTTTTAAAATTAAAATAAATCCACATGGAAAATATAAAATTTGTTGAGTCACTTTGTCTAATAGGACTATTGAATCTAGTTGAAGCTCTTCTTAATGCCCGGTTTTCTCTTTGTTACATCAATTTGGTAGACTCCTAACCCATTGTATTGGAGATAAATAAATGAATGAACACGATTTATTTTACTTGTGTTACATTTTTTTTTTTTAATAATAAATGCACATCCATTAAATTAGCATAAAGCTGATACAATGATGATAAACCTCAAAACACAATGCTCTCCTAAGAGAGTTTAAGTGCCACTAGAGCTAAAACAAAACGACAATCAAAGACAAAACAAACAACAACAAACACTAATACAAACATAAACAAACAAATACACCACCAAAACAACAAACACCCAAAGCCGAGATATGGAAGAGGCCCGCAACGAAGTTACAGATGTGACGTAGCAGATCAGAAAACCCGACTTTAAGCCAACTAACGCATACAACACTTGAGCACCCCGCCAAAGACTGGCATTGTCTAAAACTTCAAACCTCTCAACAGAGAGATAGAGCACTCAGAAGGTCATATTCTCAACATTGGACCCAAAAACCTCAACCCAACACAACACCACCCATCAACCGACCAACACCCAGCAACAACCGAGAAAAAAACCACCCAGCCACCCACCGGCGTCAACACCAAAAAAAAGGCCATCCACCAACCGAAACAACACCCAACCACAGACAGACACCCTACAAGTACACCACCAACACACCCGCCCCCAGGCACAATAACCGATCCAAAACGGAGCAACCCGCCGGCGAAAGCTTCACTGATGCTCCCCCTGCAGGCTCCAGCCCTCGATGCCGAGACGCAAACAGGAACACCACCTCACAAACGCCGGCCACCACCACAAACCACGACCCCAAACAGAATAACAGAAGAAAAAACAGGGAAAAAAATCGGAAAAGGGAGGGGGGAGCCGAAGCTCCCACCCCTCGACGAATGCCCAGGAAAAAGGGATCAAGAGCACGGGAGAAGGATTGAAACGGAAGATTCAAGAAAAACCAAACCACAACCAACCCACATCTATAGATTAAGAGCCGAGAGGAGAGAAAGCCAGAGTTTCAGAGAAACCTGGGAGAGAAAAACCCCACCTTTTCGAAGGGAGGACTTATTGTGCTTTTAATTTGTTCTATGTTATATATATTTGTACTTGAAAAACTTGTTATGTACATGGCATTGATATTTAATGAATGGACGGCGAGGCCAACATTGATGTCCAATGGGTTCCATCCTGAACGCAATGCTGCTTCTCAAGTGTCTTAATTTTTAAAATTAAAATAAATCCACATGGAAAATATAAAATTTGTTGAGTCACTTTGTTACATTTGTTTTAGCAATTTCACATTTCAGTTACAAGGATACAAATGTTTTATTTTTTCATAGCAGTCAAAAAAAGAGGCAAAATCACAGTTATATTTCCAACAAAAAAGAAAAAAAAGATGTCAAGATCAGTACACAAAAATAAATGAGAAATTATTTCTTGTTTCCAGTAAGAAATCAGAAGAGGCCAGGATTAAAAGATGAAATTGATATAGACCTCACCCTGTGGAAATTGGAAAACAATGAGTGCAAGTAAAGAGGATATGACTAATCAATTAGGCACATAGTTGTAATTAAGGATCTTTGTCCTTGGACAGATTCCTAGGTAATCTACTAATTACACTTTCATCAACAATTTTATAATGCTTCGAAAACTTTTGATGGATCAACCCTGCATAACGATCCACACGATCATCAAACTTATCGTACAAAGCTGGAACTGTAATAGAAACGACAATTCCTGCAACCCATTTGTAAAATTGTAAGAGATCATAACAGTAGGGATTTAATTGTATCGTTGTTTTTGGTGTGTGAACAAGATTCTATTTAAGATCAGCAGCAAGCCAAATGCAGTCTAACACGATAATATTCTCAACATTACGAAGTGACCAAGGAAGATAGTACTACCCAAATATGCAAAAAGTGAGTAGAGTTAAGATGTCATATACTTGCACCTGCACACTAAAACTGGGCTCAACAGTGGCACAACGTGCAAAGTGGCTGAGAGGATTAGATATTAATGCATTTAAGGAATATGGTATCCTTTGTAAAGGGCTCTTTACCCACAAGTAATGTAATGTCGTGTCAACTAAAAATACTAGACCATGTTATTGATCCACAACAACCCCTCCTCCAATACGCACTTGTGCTAAGCACTAGGGTTCCCAGCTGAATTAGGGTCTGTTAATTGGATTCAATCTACAATGGTCGCAAGACATGATCTCTATCCCCTTTAAATTTTAAGGCTCTTTTGGTCTTGCTTCCACCCAAAACAAAGAAGCTGAAAGGAAAGAGACCTCTGTTAAAACAACTACAACCTAAAAAGGAAACGCTCCCACCCAAAACAAGAACCTGAAAGGAAAGAGACCTCTGCTAAAACAAGTAACTACAATCTAAAAAGGAAACGCAAGTACACATGCAGATAAGTTCATCAAAAAACCCCGCTCCCCTACTATTTTCTTTCAGGGTGCCTAATTTTTTCACTATGCACTAAGTGGTTTTAACCGAGTATATTTTCAAAAGCTATGGCCGGGAATTGGTTTTGGCCACATGAGCTCAATATTTCATAACATTGGCACAAGCAATTTGTTAATAATGGTAAATGACCCCCCACAGATAAAAGAACAGCACAACATGGAAACGTCATTAACAAAAGGCATGGTATGATGCACAAGTCAAAGAGACCTAAGGATGAATTGATATACCTATGTATAAGAGAGTGAAGAAAGATATCAGGCTACCAATGACGGACAAAAGCCATAAAGCAATCACCACCTGCAAGTTTCAAAGATATTCTGTTCCTTTATTTGGGGTCATTCAGCAAAGTTGCAATGGTGAAGAAAGCTACTCGTGTATTTTGTTGTTTTATTAAATCAGTCACATAAACCTCAATATGCTGATCCTCACAACAAAAGGTGAGTTTAGACTTCTGCCATTTGACATTATGAGTCAAAATGCTTAGAAAAATTATGCGATTACCATCTCTCTCAATATAAGAAAAAAATACATACATCTGGTTCTCTCTTCTGTTCCATTCAGGTGTCAATGCATCTTCCATTCGAAGAAAGAAGTACAATTCAAATAAAACGATCAAAGCAGAAAATTTTATTTCCGTCGTATGTAATGTAATAACATCATGAAAACACAGATGCAACTTGAATTAGATGAACTTAGACCTTGTGGTGATTGTCATCAGCTCCAAGTAAATAGGAAGACGTGTTTTGATGTCTTAACCAATCATCAAGGAGGGGGAGTTGCGGAGTATTAAGGAAGTATTTGCAAGGCATACAGTGCAAAATAATTGGTGCCTAGTTCAACGTACAAACAGTGGCTTCGGGTTGACAAGTAATAAGCAAGTAAATAAATACATTGTTAAAGATGGAACTGACTCAATTTTAGGGATGAAAGCTCAGTACGTGAAACCACTTACCATTATGTCATCAACATTGATAGTCTGCAAGAAAAATCAGTACTAAATTGAGGAAAAGAGAGAATAAAACACAGTTCAGACTCATTCCAAAATGCCCATTAAGTTTTTGAGAAGAGGTTAAGCATATTGAAGTGCCCCTACAAATTCATGAAACTAAAACTAAGATAGTAATAGTAGATTCACTAGATTGTGACAAACACGGTAGTGGTGGGGTAGCGCTAACATTAGCACTAGCAGTAGATGTATATCCCAAAAACAAACCAGGATTGAAGTAGGTGATAAACGGACCTAACGCACGGCATCTTAGTCCAACTTGGTGAACAAGATAGTGACTGCATATATCTATCCTAAATTTGGATTGCCTACCACATACCAAATTGATATTGATTCCATGCACTGAAGAGAATTTGACTGACATTTGATAAACTGTCTTTTATTGAATTCACTAGGTTTTCACAGAGTAAGGCTAAATGACGATAAATCTAACTATTGTCCTAAAAGTTATCATCTATAAGAATAACGTCCACTGTCCCCTTCCAAGCACATTTTTTGA